CAACACAGTGACTCCTGGTGGCAAACCGAACAAAACAAGAGTAATCTGGGGAAAGGTAACGCGTGCTCATGGAAACAGTGGCATGGTTCGTGCCAAATTCCGAAGCAACCTTCCTGCCAAGGCCATAGGACACAGAATCCGTGTAGTAAGTACAGTTATTATCAATATGACCCCCTGTTGAGTCAAACTGAGCTCAGGGAATTGGGCTTTGACCTCTAAGAACTATTTTGATTATAAAGTATCATTAGAAGATTATGCTACAAAATTCGTGGCCAATGTGTAAAATGTATTATGGAACATCAGATCTTAGCATTAGAAGGAAAGCAAAACCAAAATGTGCAAGTGGGTTTTGCCTAGATTTCAGATTTTGCTAAAGCTGCCTGAGGGGGAAATAGTATTTAAATGAACATTTTTGTTGGACACTGAAGTAATTGCTAGAAAATAAAAATTCAACCTGCATTTTCCTGGCACGATTCTTAATGTTTTCCTGTTTCTTCATCATGACAGTCTTGTTAGAATAGGTGTTATTAGCCTGATTTTGTAGAAGAAACCTGATGCTCATGTTTCTGGGTACCATGATTTGGGCCTATGTCTTTGAATCCAGATCCCATGATTTTCCTAAAATAGTACCTGTTTAATTTGGCTCCATTTTTAATAGATGTGGCCACAGTATTGGGCTCACAGGGTACTTTTGAACCCTGCTGAGCAGTTGAGGTGGCTCATCAGGCAGTTTTTTTACGCTGTCATTAGAAGCAGTAAAATTAAATGGACTTTTAATGCTCCCAGATTGATTCTTAATCAAAGCATGTTCACCTAGAAACCAAAGGCTATAAAAAACTTGGTTCCCTCCCCAGTGGGATATAAGTCATTGGGTGCCTTTTAGAGATGAATAATGGGAAAATGGGATTTACCCATATCTTGGTACTCAGTGACATTGGTCAATTTGTATGTAACATGCATCTAATGGCATTGTGTTCTTTTTTTCCTCCAGATGCTGTACCCCTCAAGGATTTAAATTTACTGAGAAGTAAATAAAATGGATTTGTTCTCTTGTATTTTTGTTACATGGCTTAAAAATCACTTTGCCATAAATTCACTTGTTATGTACTTAAATGACGGTGGTTGTCGGGCATTTTCAGAATATACAAAGAAGTCAAAGGGCTATATGTAATGATGATTACAGAGATTTAGACTGGGATAGGATGCGAGTTTGTTAAAGGAGAGGGGGACAAGTAAGCTTTGTTTGGGGACAATAGAAAGGAGTACCTTGAAAGGTTTATAGTGATGGAACACTTAAACCTAGCCTCTGATAAGCTTTTGGACAAATGGAGACACCGCGTATTCCAAGAAGTTCAGAAGCCATCAATTGTAGTCAGTATAGATACATACCATGACACTTTTAACAGATTTGCACGTCAAAATGGATCTATAACTTTCCCACAACCGTTTCAACTTTGGTACTGTGGTTTATTAAGTGTGCTGGTAACTGCCTCCCTCAGGATATTGAGAGTCAGTTAAAGACACTTAAAATTTTATTTTCTAGGTTGGGAAATTTGTGACTTAAAATGGTAGTTGGAAGACATTGGAATGGAGATTACATTAATGGTATTGGACAGCTTGTTGGATAGGCAGGGATGACATAGCCTTGGGATTTGTGATGGGACAAAGCATTCTAGTATATAATATTTGAGTGGGAATAATGTGTAAGTTGAAAATGTCAATGCCACATGCCTCAGAAAAAGTAATGGGGTGCTGGAGGGTTGGGATTGCCTAGGCAGTGGAGCTTTACTTGGCTCTGTGTTTTAATGTAGCAGTGCAGGATTAAGATATTTTAGCATAATACAAAAGACATTAAACAAGGCTGTAGAATATTTTAAATCAATGTTGAAAAAAGTTTGAATCAAGGTATCAGTTTTCAGTATATTGTAGATTGATGCAGTAGCACCTAGTCTTTGCAGTAACCAACAAATCTTGACATTCCATTGAAACAGGAAACAGCACTTGCCAAGTCAAGCCCCAACTTTTTAACAGTTTTTCATTGTATTCTGGTTTTCAAGAAGCAGATTAGCATGCTAAAAGTATTGGGGGTGTATATGTGTGTGAAAAAGACCTTTGAAGATGTCAGGAAGGATTGGGTACTGACAGCACATGGCAGTTCTAAGAAAGGTTTGCTCATTAGTCCAGTAGTGGTCCTCAAGTCAAAGTTGCTGTTGGAAGAGTCCCAGGCTTGACAGAAATGGGCTTGTATTTGTACTGCTGCGATCATGTCCAGGAAGGCAGATGGATACTGAGGTCTGGTTTAGTCATACAGACAGGAAATCTCAATGCCTGTTACTTTTGTAGGAGTCAAGTGAATGTTGTGAAGGGAATAGATGATGGTAGGAGAGCACTGGGGGCGGGTAAACAAATGGTCATTTTGAGCAAAGTAGGGAAGAAAAAAACAATTCTTAGGGTATGGAGTAAATGCAGTGACAGGAAACTTGGATGCAAATTAATCACCTTTTCAACATGTAATACAGCATTTGTAAATAAGAGGGTGCATAACGCTTTTCTTCCATGAAAAGGTTTGCTCAGTGCAAAGGTCCTTCAAGCCAGTTAACCATTGGATGCGTCCCATATTTCACAGAAATGAGCTTGCATGGCTAGCAATTAGTCTGCTATACCACTGAAAAAGCATCTCCCCAGTATACTATTACACGAGTAGGAGCTGATTGTTTTGTTCACAACCTGCCATTTATTTGTGTTCATGTGGATAGAGCACCTGTTCTAAAAGTGATAAATTTGGTTTGGAATCCCAACTTTTACCAGTTGTGGGATGATAAGCACTATCTGATGAGTACATGATCTTTGCCAATAAAATACAGATTCTTGGTTTTTTTTTTCCTATGCTTTCTTAACCCTACAGTTCCTAGGCATTCACAATATCCAATTCATGTTGAATGACTTACAGCTTACATGCTTCCAGTTCCTAATTTTATTTGTTTCATGGGCCACGGAGATTTGTCTCGATTTTCAAGTTTTTTTGTAGTTCATCTTGCTCAGTTTTGAAGGTAGTTTCCTTAATGGCAAGTATCCGCCCAATCTGAGTTAACGCAGTTGCAACTTTTGATTTTTAAATAAGTTCAGGAATGGGGTTGAATAGTAAAGGACACAGCTGAATTTATAGGAAATCAGTTAAGAAACGGGCATAAAATTGGTGACTCATAAAAGAATTATATTCCATTCATATATATATATATATATATATACACATATACACATACGACTAAACCGTAAAATATCCTGCAGCTGTTTGTCTAAGCTACCGGGCACCTAGTGGGTGCATATCCTTTCGGTTACTAGCCTTAAGACTGAAAAACCGTTTCAGTACAGACACCCACTTATCACCGTCCCATTACCATCAACGCCTCCAGCCTCAACCCAACTCACGTGGGCCACTAAACGGCATTTATTGGCCGGCTTCGCGCAATGAGACGCGATGCGAGTCTCCTGCGGTGAATTTCTTGCGGGTGACGCTAGCCAATCGAAAAGCATGTTTTCGCCGGGTAGTCCCTCCACCTGCCGCGGGCGGCGAGGGGCGGGGCGGGGCTGGCGCCGGGCGCGGAGGCGTCACGTACTCCATGGTAACGACGCTCAGTCCAAAGATGGCGCCCGAGTGGGGTGGAGGAACGGGTTCCTCCGGCCCGGGCCCGGGCCCAAGCCGGGGGCGCTGGAGCGGTTCTTTATGGGTCCGAGGCGTTTTCCTTTTGTTGGGCGGGCTCCGAGCAAGCGCTACGTCTATTCCGGTCTCCTTGAGCAGTTCCCCTCCCTGCCGGCACCACGTCCCCTCTGACACTGAGGTAGGGGGACGGAGGGGCGGGAGGGGTCCCTGTGAGGGTAAAGTAATATGGGAGGCAGTGGCATAGAGAGTAGTGAGTGGAACAAGCTGTACAGGAGGAGAAAGCTAAATTGGGCCAGAGACTGAACTCAGAGGGCTGGGACCTGCTATGAACTCCCTTTCTGCACCCAGCCAAGTGACCGAGTTAGCCACTGAGAACATCATCACTTCCCTGTGTGAAGGTTGTGCATAGCGGGTAGTCCTAGAGTAGCGGTTTTCAAAATGACATGCATCAGAATCATCTGACGGACTTGTTAAAACACAGATGGCCCACTTTCCCACTTTCTGACTCATTAGGTCTGGGATGGGTCCCCAGAATTTGCAGTTCAAGTTTCCAGATGGTTGGTGAGGCTGCTTGTTCAAGGACCACACTTTGGGAACCACTAATCTAAAGGTTTGGGAAGGAATTAATAGGAGAACCAAAGGCGTTGGAGGGATATTGGGGGTTCTGTGGAGACAAAACTCAGGTTTATTTTCAAGTTACTTCATCACATTGATTGCTTTACCCTATTCTGCTCTGGAAGTGCCTTCCGCCTTCCCGCTCTATTTTTCTCCCTGTCTAAATTTTTTCAGTCTGTTTACCTCAAGGCAACTTGCTGAAACCACCCCAGCAGAATGCTCTTTCCATTGCACAGTATGTCTTATCTGTACTCTCTTCTGGCACTTAACCAAGTACCGCTACGTGATGCTGGCTTATTTTCCAGGCCTTTGCAGCTAAATTGTAAGGTTCCTTAGGATAAAGTTTGTCTTATACTTTGGTTCCTCCACAGTACTTAGCTCAGAGGAGGGCCGACAACAATCAGTATTCTTTGAGGAAAGGAGACAGAGTACCTTGGGCAGGGCTTCATGTTGTGATTGGTTTTACAATTTGTCTTATTACTTTATAAAGAAATATTAACCTAGAAATTTTCAGTTTAACCCAGAAATCTAAGACCATTCATTTTAGTGGTAATTTCCAAAAATTTCTATGCATACTGTTCATAGCCGTATGTGCAAAAATATTAAATTTGGGGTTTATGGTGGTATAGTTTTTATCATGACACTGCATTTTGGCTGAATCATTTTTTTAGTCTTTTAGCAACTTTTAAGTTTATAATACATTATCATTGTCTGTAATCACTATGCTGTACAATAGAGCTCCTGGACTTACTTACCACCTGGTTGGAAGTTTGTACCCCTACACATCATACCCCCATCCCTCTGATGAATTCTTTTTAAAAAGACATTCCCACAAAGCCCTGCGCTTCTTTCTTTCAATTTAGATTAAAAAGAGAAACTAGTTCAAAGATCTGCAAAATCTCTGTGCTAGAAGGAACTTTAATAGCTATTTTGTTCTAGTCTAAAGATATTAAAAGCAAGCTATTAAGTTCTTGAGAGTTCTCATCCCTAATAAATTTTTCTAGTTCATGATAGAACATGTAATAGGAAGTCCTCTTAACCTGAATACAAAGTGTAGCCACGAGCTATTCATTGTCCTCATGGTAGTGACCNATGAATTTAATGATGTTTTCTTTATTTCATGATTTCTTTTTTCGATTTGTCTCTGGGGCTGCTGAATCATTTCAGCTTAGAACTTGATCTTCCAAAACATCTTTTAGCAGGTATATACCTCAGTATTTTTGAAGGACAATTTGACATTATCTCTTAAAATAAAAAATCTAGGCTTCAACCCAACCTAGAAATGTATTCCATAAAAATACTTATAACTGTGTAATATGTGTTCAAGGATACTCTTTGCAAAACTATACATATACCTGTATTAGTTACATGATGGTATAACCGTGGAACGGAACACTGTGCAGCTGTGAAAGAATGAGTAGATCTCTATATATTGACTTAGAAAGATATTTCAGCTCTTAAATGAAAAAAAAATTGTAATACAGTTATATGTAGTTAGCCTACTGTTTTAAAAATTATAATCAATTAAATAAAGCCAAAATAAAAATAACATTTATTTTTAAAAAGCATATATATATATACACACATACAATAAAAAACTATGAAACATTCTGGAGGTATACACATATTAAAAAATCTGGACACATACCAAAACGTTAATGGTTTTCTTTAACAGTTGGATTGTGGGGGCTTTTCTTTGGTAAGTTATGTACAAGCATTTTTACAGTGTTCTGATTTTTCATAGTAAGCATATAAGAAAAAAGTAAAAAATTTAAATGCATGTATCAAAAAACCAATTTATTATACATATACCTTTGAAAATATGATTATTGCTCTAGTTATTTTTCTGTATTGAACTGTTCTCTCATTACTTATAAAAAATGAATACTTTACTGAATGCTGACTTTGTATCAAAATTAAGCATATGTTTAGATGAAATTTACTTTGTAATTTTTTTCTTAATGTATTTGAAGCTTAGTAAAGTCTTTTAGTGCCTATGTATTGGCATTAATACAACTAACTTACTCAGCTTTCATTTATTTTCTCAAATTTCTTAAATGTATAAAGGATTGTAGGGACACATTTAAAAATTAAAGCAACTTGTTAATTACATATCCATCTCTTTTTCCAAGACATTAGAGACATTTCCTAGACATTTATTTTTATTTATTTATTTTTTTAAGATTTTATTAGGGAATTNCACACAGCTCTTCTTAAAATTGAAGGTGTTTATGCTCGAGATGAAACTGAGTTCTATCTAGGCAAGAGATGTGCTTATGTGTACAAGGCAAAGAAGTAAGTTTATAGTATTATACTTTTTGAATTTTTATTTAATGTCTCATTTTCCTATTCAAAGAGGAATAAAAAGATGTTGGTAAAATAATTGGTACTGTTGAACCTTCCACTTTGGGACTTGAAGGAATTTGAAGAAGGATGTTATTTTGTGCATGATGTTGGGTACCACTGTTAATTATTTCAAGGAAGGAGCCAACTCATATTATGATTTTAAAATTTTATAGTTCTTAAAATGTTCCTTAAATCATTTTGTTGATTCTTTGAAACTATGTTTTATATGCATGCTTAAAGATGTTGTCTTTAGAGCATTGGCTCTTAAACCCATTCCAGACCAATTAAAATCTCTGGGGACATTCTTTCATCTTTGCCCCCTTTTCATCCTGCAACCAGAGTCCTTTAAAATTATAAGTCAGATCATCTGTATGTTGCTCAAACTCCAACTGATCCTCATCTCGTTTAGTAAAAGCCAAAGTTGTTAAAGACCCTGTGCATTCAGGGCTCTCTTATTTCTGCTCTTAATCCAGCTAGGATTCAACCCTTGGTGTCTATCTCCTGCCTTTCCACAAGTCAGGGACACAAACCTTCTCAGGTTTTAAACATAGGCTGTGCCTTTATCTTATCTTCCAGTCTTTGCTCCAGTGTTACCTTCTCAGTGAGGCCTTCGTTGGCTATTTAAAATTGCAGACACACAAATATCTTCAAACTTCTTGTCCCCATTGCTTTTTTTTTTAAATATTGCAGCTATTATCATCTGACAATCTATATGTTTTACATATAACTAAAAGCTATATTTACTTGGTTGTCCTCTGAAAGATATGTTTTGTAAATGGCTCTATTTTACTAATTTTCAAAAATTTATAAAAGTGGCATACAGTAGATAACTCAAGTATTAAATGAATGATGCCACGGGCTTTTTTTTTTTTTTTTTAAGTTTCTCTGGTGACTAAGAGGTTAACTAGGGTTGAGAGCCACTGTCTAGATGTCACTTTGAATTTGTACTATGCTATACTGGTTGCCTGGGTTCTCATGCCTCTTTTATTCCCTTTTAAAATCAGCAACACAGTGACTCCTGGTGGCAAACCGAACAAAACAAGAGTAATCTGGGGAAAGGTAACGCGTGCTCATGGAAACAGTGGCATGGTTCGTGCCA